AGTTGAAATGTCTATTTAGGCAGTCTTTGGTGATCCCTCTAACCCAATCTGACCATGTTACTCTCCTAGCCCTCGCCTATGGCAGCTGTTTCTATCCATTCACAGCTCTCCCTCCGGCAGATCAGATGTCTTGGAAAACTCAGGCACAAGGCTCTTACCTCTCCATTCCTATTCCAGCAGCAGCAATGCAATCCCTTTTCCTCCCACTGGCCCAGCATCTCCTGTAATGGGCCAATATGTCCCAAAACTCCATCTGAGAATTTCTGTCCATGGCAAGAGTTCAAGCTCCTTAAGATCAACAGGCCCTTTTTGGTTGAGTCTGGGAATCTCTTCAGCTTGACTTTTGCCACTGATTTTATTATTTATGTAATTTCACTCTTCCTTTCCTTTGCACAGATTCCCACTTCCTGGACTGTCTTTCTCTGCATTGAATAGTCAGTCTTATCTTGCCCACAAATTCACAGGCATCCCTTAAAACTGCCAGCACCACTTTTAATCACTCTCATAGTTGTGTGCCATTTTCTCTGTCTTGTATGTTTCTATCATTGCTTGGAACATGGGCATTGTAATGATATGCTTTTATCCTCCCTACTGAAGGCACTGAACTTTAACCCAGCCCTCTGCTTTAGCAGCCATGACAGGCTACAGAAAAGACCCAGCAAAACAGAGGTCCCTGACTCAGCAACATGTGCTTGCCTAACCTTGCCCAGCAAGGAACCAATCAGAAGTTAGCTGGCAGGCTCCAGATGTGTAACAGTGGCATACAGAGCATAGCAACCACTCTGGGAGGGCCTATAGGCCATAGCCACCAGTTGACTAATCAACACAGGCAAGGTGACCCAAACCTGGAAGTGCACCAGCCCTGAGACTGTTGCAGACCCCTAGACCCTCCCCTTGCTCTACCAGAATAAATTTCCTGCCCCAAAGTCCCTCTGGGTCCTTCTCATTCCACCCACTGTGTTGGATGGATGGAGGAACCAAGTTAATACAGTTAAATCATTAATAAAAGGCTCTTCACTTTTGCATCAGATCCAGTCTCTTGGTGATTTGGGGAGTTCTGAATTTGGGCACAACACCTACCACCTAAGTTTCTAAGATTTCTGGGAACAAAAACCCTGTTTCACCCAGCAGAGTGTCCCCAGTGCTTGATTTACCCTTTGAATCATGCTGAATGTACAGGAAATTTTAATTTTGCAGTCTTGAATCAAGACACCAAATTCCAAACAAGGAACATACTGGAATTTGATAAATAATAGCATAACCTAGGGGCTGGGAACATACTTCAGTGAATAAAGGGCTCGCTACACAGACATGAACAGTTTGGATCTCCAGTACTCCCATAAAAGTCGACCGCAGCAGTGTATGGCCATAATCTCAGCACTGGGGAGACAGAGACTAACAGATCCTTGGAGTTCATTAGCTGGTCAGCCTGGCCAAAGCAAGAGCTTCAGTTTCTGTAAAAGAGCCTGTCTCAAAAAGTAGAGAATGATTAATCAAAGAAGATATCAATGTCAAACTCTGCCCTCCACACACAGCACACACCAAACCACCACACAACAGTGTAACAGAGTCTAAAACATTTAAGCTAAACTGCAAGAATATGTGTTGTCCTTGAAAGGGTGGTGTCATAACCATTGTCCCCAGAGGTCAGCTCTTTTTATGCAGACAGTAAACCATTCCTTCATAAGCCCCCAATCTAGTGGGAGTTCACTGACTCCGGACTGACCTCTGGGGAACTGACTTAGAACCAAACTAGGCCCCTGAATGCAGATGACAGTGGTGGCTTGGGCAGTCTGTGGGGCCACTGGCAGTGGGACCAGGATCTATCCCTAGAGCATGAACTGACATTTTGGATCCCATTTCCTATGCAGAGATACCTTGCTCAGCCTAAACACAGGAGGGAGGTCCTTGGTCCTGCCTCAACATGGTGATGGGACAGACTTCCTGACTCCAAACAGGAGGCCTTACCCTCTCTGATGAAGATGGCGAGTGGGCTAAGGGAAAGGTGGGGGGAGTGGGAAGAGGGGAGAGAGAGGGAACTAGGATTAGTATTTTTTTAAAAAGGTAAATAAATAAATAAACCACCCAACCCCCATTATTCTAAATCTACAAGCACCAGGGTACTTTTGGTGATGAATTTAGGTGTCTTGATAACAGGATGGGGTGGCTCGGGCAGTTCAATCAATGAAAACATAGGTTACTTCCCAAGCTAAAGTGTGTGTGCTCAGTGACGCACCATCCTTTGTGTGTTCAGTTCACACAAATCAGTCACCAGGAGGAGGTTCAACTTTGTGCACCCTGGTACAAAGGATCCCCCCGCTCTACAGTGCCCCCTAGGCCCTGAGCACCTTCTCTTCACTGTCATTCCCTTTTGCAGACTGCATGTCTGGTTCTTAAGAATCCCTGTTGGTGCATGTGTCCATGCATATGCGTGTGCGCGTATGTATAGAGGCCAGAGGTCAGCACTTGTCTTCTTGGGTCATGCTCCACCTTATGTTTGAACACAGTCTCTCTGAAACTGGAGTTCACCTGCTTGGCAAGCTGGCTGGCCAGTAAGTCCCAGAGATCCTACTGTCTACACACACACACACACACACACACACACACACACACACACACAGTGCTGGTGTTTCTGGGACATGTTGCTGCACCTGGTTTTTATGTGGGTGCTGGAGACCCAGACTCATGTCTTCCTGTTTGTGCAGTGAGCCTTTTACTTAACAACCCAGTGCCCCTGCCTCCCAGCTCCCTCACTCCCCCTTAATAGCATGTATTTCTAAGTAACAGACACAATTACAGCCGAGCCTTGGTGGTGCATGCCTTTTGTCCAGCAGGGACAAAAGAGGCAGGGATGGGTGGATCTCTGTGAGTTCAAGTTCAGCCTGGTCTACAGAGCTAGTTCCAGGACAGCTAGGACTACACAGAGAAACTCTGTCTCAAAAAACAAACAAACGAGGAAAAAAGTCACAATTACATGTTTTTCTCTCTTGGTGTCTAGAGCAAATACTCTCTTGTCCATTTTACCTAAGAGATTCAGGGTAACTGAAGAAGCTCATTCAAGGGTCTACACATCGTGGAGTAAGCTCTGCCCTTCAGAGTGAGTGGACACAGGTCCTCATTCAAAGCTCCTCATCCTTCCATTGCTTCATAACACTTTTCAAACCCTCACATCAGTCCAGGCAGCAAGATGTCTGGTGAAGATATTTCTTCCAGCTGAACGCAGAGCTGCAGTGACCTCAAAAGTGGTGGCATGGAAATTTCCACAAGGGAATGCCAAGCCATGTCAAGTGGTGAGCAGTCAGAACTTCATAGAGAGAAACACTGCATGCCAGGGTTGTTAGTCTGTAGCATTTATTAAGGAGAATTGTGTAAAGAGATGGTACAGATGACAGCAAGATGAAAGCTGTCCCTCTCCAATAAATCAGCCAGGAGTGGATCAATCTAGCCAGTTTTGTGTGACAGCTTAAGGAATTTGTTTCAGGGCAGGGGCCAGTTGCTACGTGTTTAGCAAAAGGATTAACTTCTCAGTGTTTTAAAGCACCAACCTAAACAGGTTCACCAGTGCAGAGAAACAGCTGAGGTTCAAGCCTGCAGGGAAAGCAAGCTGCTGCCTGGTGGCTGGGTCACAGAGCAGTCAACGCACCCTGTGTCCCATAGTCAGAATACAGAGAAACCTGGAAGAATTGATCCTACAGAAGAGATGACTACATAGGAATGGGAGAACATCCCCTCCCCACGCTATTTACATAGTACCCTTGCCCTTCTGAACCTTCCTTATTCCTTAGCCCTGGCTGAGCCTGGAGAGAGGAACACACTCTCTAAGCTAAGAAATTAACTGACTTTTTCATGATTTTGGAACTATCAGGAAGGTGGGAGTTTGTTGACTCTTTTAAATAAGCATTTACCGAACTATCTAGGGTTCAACAAGCAACATTAGCAATGGCTAGCTCATCACCATCATCATCATCATCATAGCGGCTCGCAAAGACTGGAGTGACAATCAGGGAGCATGTGTGGGTCTGACCTAGGCCCTCTGCATACATGTTATGATTGTATATCTTGGTATTCTTGTGGAATTCCTAACAGTGGGAGTGAGGGAGGCTGTCTCTGATTCTTTTGCCTGCTTTTGAGACCCTACTGCGTTGTCTCATCCATCCTTGATATGAGGGTGTGCCTAACTGTACTGTAACTTGTTATACCATATTTTGTTGATATACCTGGAAAGCCTACTCTTTTATGAAGGGAGGAGTGGATCTGGGGGAGAGGGGAAAGAGACAGATTGGGAGGAGAGGAAAAGGAGGAAGGGATGTAACTTATGAGAGAAGAATAACTTAATATGTAAATTTTAAAAAATAAAGTGTGAGGAAGGTATTCACTGTGGCTAGGCTATAGTCTGTTTACCTTATTCAGTACTCACAAAGATTCCCATGAGGAAGATGTAATTTTATATCCCTAATGCATAGCTACCTCAACTAAGATCTGTAACTTGTGTGTTTTCACCTAACTAGTAAGATGCTGAGTACAGATACCTGTGCTCTACTCACCCTGTCGTGCCCTCCCTACTTCACAGGTTTGATCTGTGTGACTAGAATGTCTCTTCTTAGATTGGGCAAAGCTCTGGCTTGTGGTCTACAAGAGCCTGAAAGAGGGAATGCTGCTTATCTGACTCCCATCACCCCTCTGGGTTCCTGACACCCCTCCTCAGGCCACAGTTTGAATGTTTTGGCTGCTGTAGCTGGCTGTTTCACATGACTATCCTAACTTCTCAATGCTGGTCCCCTTCCCCCATTTGCTCCTTCTCTCATGGATAGAGCCCTCAATATACCCACCGACTAGGATAGAGCATAAGCCCTGGGGTCTCCCCTCATTAAAGCAGCCTGATCTGCCTCCCTTCCCATATCCCAATTGCTGCACAAGCCATTTGGTCATACAGTCTTTCCATCGCACAAAATATTAATGCACCCTCTCCACCCCATCGTAAACAAAGAGACAGAAATGGATTGAGAATTTCAAATGCAGTTTATTGCAGCAAAACGAAGAAATGGGAGAGTTTCAGAGAGCTCCATAAAAGACAAACGACTCGCAAACACCATATGTACAAAACCAAAGCAGCAGAGCATGCTGCAGGGTATAGGATGCTAAGGGGCGGTCCAGAGCATTGAGTGTTTTGGGCACAGCAAAGAAGCCCTGGATCTGACGTCCTCTTTGAAATGTCGTGTAAATGGTGGCAGTTCTGAGCTTTTACTCGAGCAAAACATAAAGTGGGGTCGTTACCAGGGGACTCAGATTGGTACTAATCTGAAAACTTCTTTGGAGGCAGAGCAGGGGAGGGGGGAGCGCAAGGAAATAGGCTGAATAGGTGCGATTAACCATAGCTCTTCTCTCCGATCTTGGTCTTGCCAGCCATATTTGGTCGTGATGGAAAGGGAGAGCTAATGGGGTGGTGAGCACCTCTTTATCTGGTTCCTCGGGAGTAGCTAGTGGAAATAAACTTCACGCTAGAACTGCCCCCAGAGGACTTAACTCCCCCGGAGCTGGATCCTCCACGGCCTCCTCCAGAGGAACCGTAGCTGCCTCCGGAGCTGCCACCGCCCCCTCTGTGGCCCCCACTGCTGCCGCCAGAGCCACCATAGCTGCCGCCGCCGCCGCTTCCGGAGCCGCCGCCGTAGCTGCCACCACCGGAGCCGCCGCCGTAGCTACCGCCGCCGCCACCTCCAGAGCCGTAACTGCCACCTCCGGAGCCGTATCCTCCGCCTCCTCGGCTACTGCTTCCGCTCATGCTGGTGTGGCTGGTGCTCACCGCTGCAGAGAGACTCGGTTACACCCCATCACACTCAACTAGTTTCCCACCCCGCAAAGTGCCCTTGTACTTACACATGCTCACACTGGGGGTGCACTCTCCAGACATCCTGCGGGAAAACAAATCAAAAACCCCTATCAATACACCGCACCCTCTCAGGCCCCCTTCCCGCGGGGCGCATCCTAGACGGCTCCCTAGCGCTCTCCATGAAAGCTGCTCCTTAGCCTGGTGTCTCCCAAGCCTGGATGCAAACTGGGAGACATCTCCCTAAATCAGACAAGGCTCTTAAAGCTAGCTGGTGGGGGCTCAGCTCTAAAGGCTGAGATCCAGCTCAGCCACAATAAATTGCTCCCTTTCAAATGTAAAAGAGGAATGGGGAGGCAGGCAGGAGACAAGTCAGAAAAATTAGAGTGGAGAAGGAAGAAAAGAAAAAATGAGGGCTTGTGAACACCAGTCCTTCCTTTACCCCACATAGTGATTTTCCCAAACCCAAGACAAATTGCAGTCAGAAAGGAATCCCCAAGAAGCAACTAAGCTGACAGGAACCTTCCTCACCTGATCTCCTCTCCTTCCAGGAGGGTCCTGTATGTGGCAATCTCCATGTCCAGGGCCAGTTTGGTGTTCATCAGATCCTGGTAGTCACGCAGCAGTCTGGCCAGTTCCTCCTTAGCTTGTGTCATGGCATCCTCTAGCTCATTCAGCTTGCTCTGGGCATCCTTGAGAGCGCTCTCACCACGCTGTTCAGCTTCACTGATGTTCTGTTGCAGATGTGCAATCTGAGGACAGAACAGAGCACATCACCCGGGGAACACTCCCTGATGTCACCTGATCTTCCCATCATGTCAGCCTCCCCACCTCAGTGGGCCAACACACCAAGGCACACAGGACCATGGGTCCTCAGGTCACTATAGCCACCTTCCTTAAAATGGTGATACACCTGCTTCTCTTTGGCCTGACCTAAGACTCTGAAGTTTTACCACATGCCAGCTTTGAACCTTCTGACTACCTCTCCTCACTCCTCAGCTCCTAAGTCTTCTCTGGTCATGGGCATCATTGTGACCATCATCTTTTCTCTACTAGGTCATTTTCACAAACTTCCCTTAATAGTATCCCACATGAAAGTTGAATTCTGGAAGATGGCATAGTTCACCCCAAAGGGCATGGAGAAGGTGGTGTAGCATTGGTAAGACTCAACGTCACCCGTTTTGTGTAACTGAGGGTACCTGCTTCTTGACACTATCAATTTCAGATCGAAGTCTCTGGATGACTCGGTTCAGCTCAGAAATCTCCATCTTGGAAGTTTTCACACTGTCACCATGTTTGCCAGCAGTGATCTGCAGCTCTTCGTACTAAAGATGACAGGTTGGTTCAGTTAGATGTGGGTAGAAACCAGTGTGTCTGGCCACACAAACATGCCAGCAGGTGCAGGACACCACACCAGACCTTCCAGAGAACCCACTAAGCTTGCCCATGTTTACCTTGCTCTGATAGAATGTCTCAGCTTCTGCCTTGCTCCTCTGGCAAATGTCATCATACTGGGCCTTGACTTCAGAGATGATGCTATCCAAGTCCAAAGTACGGTTGTTGTCCATGGACAGGATGACATTCGTTTCACTGATATGAGTCTGCATCTGAGACAGTTCCTGAAGGACATGACAGTTAGTGAGTCTTACAGAATAAACAATAAACAACTTAGAGGAGAGGCTCAGGTTAGAAGACTCTCTGAAGAGCAGTGGGGTCAGGACTCAAGGATCTCCATCTAGGTGTTTGAAATTCAAGAGTTTACCTCACGGTAGAGTGCTGTGAGGAATTCAATCTCTTGCTGAAGGTTGTCCACCTTGGCCTGAAGGTCTACTTTGTTCATATAAGCTGAATCCACATCCTAGAGGAACAAAGGTACCATAAATCCATGTTCTTTCCAGGATGGGGCTCCTCTCTATAGCCATAAAGGAGTTTTCCAAGTAGAAATGGAGTTTGGGCTCTACTCCTCTTTTCCCCAGTTACATTGCAGTTCTAGATTGTTTCATTTCTTCATACCATAGAGAGCCTGCCTGGATGAAAACTTGCCTCTCCACTTACTATAGGTGCTGAAAACCAAAGAGCAGCTGAGGCCTGGACTAGCATAGGTCCATAGAAAGGAGAGAAAATATTCCCACCCCCAGATGTTCAGCAGGCTGCTACCTGGTTCTCCACAACAGCTTCCTTCAGCCGTACCCTCTATCTAGTTTCACAGATGAGTTCCACACCACAGAATTTGTTTACCTTCTTGATGGTCACAAATTCATTCTCTGCATTTGTCCTCTTGTTAATCTCATCCTCATACCTGCAGGAAAACATAGTGGATTGGGCAATTAAAGGAGGTCAAGGCCTGAAGCTCAGTGGTTAACTGCTTATGACTGCCTCCCTTCACAAGCGATGCCATCATGCTACCCCTTTCTTCTGAATATTAAATCATTAAACTATCCATCTTCTGAGAAGATTAAGAGGTTTTTTTTAATTCCCAATTGCTTTGCCCCAAATAAGGGAAAGCCACTGTTACATATTCTTAGCATGTATGGAAATCTTTAGGTTCAATAATCAACGTATACCCGACTAGTCTCCCTTACTTGTTCCTGTAGTCTTCCACCATGTCCTGCATGTTCTTCAGTTCCGAATCCATCCGTGATTGATCACTCTTCAGTTGGTCCACTTGCCTTCTGAGGTTGGCAATGTATGACTCAAAGAAGGGATCCAAATTGTGGGTCCTGGTTGTTGTGTCGACCTGCTGCAGCAGCTCCCATTTGGTTTGTAGCACCTGGTTCTGCTGCTCCAGGAAGCGCACCTAGGAACAGAAGACCCATTACCCCAAGAGCAGGAATGGGGTCTGACGGCCACTGAGCAAGACCAATGCCTCACTGAAAAAAGAACTTCAATTCCCATTTGACAGCAAGAGACTTAGTGGGACACTGATTGAGGTGGCATTGACCTCAGAGCAAAACCCAATCCACGAGTTGATCCAGAGAAGCCCTGGGAGAAAGTAATTGTATGACACCAGCAGTACAGCACACATAAAATTACTGGAATGATGCTTTGAAATGGATATGTGATTTTTAAGAAGTTTGCCTTCCAACTGTTTTTAAGCAGACATAAACTTACGTTGCTGGGTTACATACACAGGTATGTTAAGAAAACACCAAATTGGATTTGAAATTTATTGTGTCTAAATTTATATTGACATTATTACTAAATCAGCAGAAAAGTCAAAATTGGCTCATGTTTTCTAGACCTGAACTTTGGGATACGTGTATTTTTAAAATCCCCTTCCCAATCCAATACTCATGGGAAATTTCCAGGGGATAGAGATCCTCTGACAACACAAGATATTTGGTACTAACCTACTCCTTCCTTTCTATACTTCACAAGGCACCTTTTTTTTGGCTAGGAAGACCCTTTAGAAAAATCCATTAGTCATTTTCTATATTATCTCCAGTCAACAGATGTGAGTCTAAGCTTAATTCAAGAGCTCAATAAAAATGCAACAGAATTTCAGACAGGCTCATCTCCGTAGTTCCTTTGTTCAATAAAGAACTTACTTACTAGCATCACTCCTGACCATAATTCCGTTCCACATGGCCTTTTAGTCATCAGACACATAAGGCTAAGCCTATCCCACAGCCTAGGAGCAGCTAGCTCTCCCTGAACCCCAAGCAGGTGAACTCACCTTGTCGATGAAGGAGGCGAATTTGTTATTGAGTGTCTTGATCTGCTCTCTCTCCTGAGACTTCACCTTTTGAATCTCAGGGTCAACCTCCACATTGAGGGGCTGCAGGAGACTCTGGTTGACAGTGACTTCCTGGATGCCACCCGGGGGGCAGACAGGCCCGAAACCACCCCCAAATCTACCACCTCCATATCCTCCACCGCCAAAACCTCCTCCACTGCCAAAACCACCACCCCCAAAACCACCACCACCGCTACCAAAACCACCCCCAAAACCACCACCCCCAAAACCGCCACCCCCAAAGCCACCACCACCAAAGCTGCCACCACCCATGCCACCACAGTGTCCACCTCCAGCCACACTCATGGAGATGCTCCTGCCACCTCCAAGGTTAATAAGACTTTTACTTCCAAAGCCACTACCAGAACCCCCACTACTCCCGCAGAAGCCTCCTGAAAATCTCCCACCACCGCCTCCTCCACTACGGCGCACAGAGCTGCTGGTGGATTTGCGGTGGAAGCTAATAAGGCCTGCGGAGCCGGAGCTGAAGCCCCTGCCGCCCCCGATCCGGCATGAAGACCTAGAACTACACTGTCGACTCATACTGGCTTAGAGAGAAGAGTAAAGACCAGAGAAGGAAGGAGCTGAGAACTCCTCTGCCTTGAGCCCAGCACCATGCCCTTATATACTGGGAGGAAATTGGGCTTGGTCCTCAGACTCAGCGGAGATGCAGAGCCTGCAAAGGGTTTGGCTTGCCTGCAGCCATACAAGATTTCTACGAGCCTCAACAATACGATAAACACTACACACCTAACTCCCAGGATGGGCTCTCAAAATTGCTGTGCAGACAAGATTGACTCGTGTGGTAATCATTTTATCTGACAGGATCTTTCCTCAAATGTTCGTGGCTTTGAGAAACTAGGACCCCACATTGACTCCTTGGTGTGTCTTGATAAGATTTTGTAATCCCTGCACTCAAGTATGCATGCATGTACTCTCACCCTGCCACTGTATGCTGCTTGAGTAGCAGGTGCAATTCCTCAAGCTTAGATGTCTAAGGGAGCTCTTATTTACTCTGAGATAGTTCGTTCAAACCCCAGCACTTATCAAATTACATCTCCTGGAACAGAGATGTTTTCTGAAGTAGGCTTTTATAAATGCACTGCACTGGTTGACTAAAAGAAGGGCAGCTGTCACCCAGCAGCAATGGGTAGATGGCCGGGAAGCACTTGAGGGGTACACTGTGTTCGTTCCTAAGTTTCCAAGTGTTCCTTTTCAAAGATAAACCAGGACAACAAATGGGTATAAGAGGCTAGCAACTGAAAATAGGTGGTCTGCAAATGCCAGTATAGAATGTTCGTGGAGTGATGAGATGGGTAGACACCTAGCACATGTGGTAAAGCCAAGTGGAGAAGTTGAGGCATGGCAGCAGGTTAGGAAGGGAAGGCAGTCGTGGAAACCTAGAAAACGTGACCTGAGATGTTCACAGTGTTTCTAGAATCCATGACAACAACTATTAAGGGGATGGGAGGAAGCAAGTCAGAAACTGATCATGTGCCAGGAAGTATTTTATGATTTACATGCAGTAAATTAATGTTCGTTTGAGAAAGATATTAATCTACCCATTTTTAAATGAGAAAACTGAGGCATGAGGGTTGAGAAGCTTCCCCGCATCTCCATAGGTAGTAAGTGGCTATTTCGAATGTGAACTAAGGGTACCTAGCTAAATCCAGTGCATAAGATCCTAATCCATATTTTGTGTGTCAGCTTGCAACTAAGTTCCTAGTCCCCTGTGTGCTGAGGGAAAACTGGACAGCATGAGACACTGTGCTGCCATGGAGGGCTCTGAAAGAGGGGGCGGATTTTATTCTTTGAGTCCTTGGCTCCTGGATCATGGGAAATATTTCTTGAAAGTCACTTTGAGAAAAGGAACTTGAAGATGAGAGCGATTCTGCTCCGTCCAAATGTCAGTGTACGCAGCATGCATCGTACCAGGCCAGGGGCCTTCCTGAAGAGCCTTAGTTGATCAACATTTATAGAAGGTAGCGACATGGAGATCTGGAAAGACTTAAACCTACACGGATGATCATTTAGAGACTTCTTAGAAGCCTGGCATGTTCCCCACATTCGATGCAAATGGAAGGGAAGGCACCTTCTAGAGGAGCCTGCTGCTCTGGCTTCTGCCTCCAAACTGCCTCGTGAACACATGGGAATTCCCCTCTGGACAGACTAGCTCTGAAAGAGGGGAGCATCTGTAAAGACCCCAGGAATTGTGCCAACCCTCTGCACCCCACCATCAAGCTTTCTCTTGTGTCATGTTTGCCCACCCTCCTTGGAGAAGTGCCCAGCCTGTCCTCTAGCCCCCACCCCTCCTATTCCCACAGCACTGCCTTCTGGAACTCTGTCCTAGTGCTGACATCCTTAGGCTGTTAAACTAACCATCTCTTTAGGGAATGAGTAATCCAGGACTTGGGAACAATGAGGACTGGAATGGCCTTGGTGTGCTAATGACTGTTGCCTAATCATCTTCTGACAGGCAATCAAAATTCTTTTAGTTCAGCATACACCCTTATGAGACATATCATTCAGCACAATCGATTCCTTCTAGCATTTTGGAGGGGTGTGCATATGTGTCTGCATGCATGTGTGTGTGCATGTGTGTGCCAGTCCATGACAGATCTTTCCAATGAGCCCTGCTTCCCTAGGCAACCAAAAGAGAGAAAACCAGGCAATGGTAACAGTTTACAGCTCTGCAAACACACTCTAGCAAGTACCCTGAGAAGAGGAAAGGCAGGAACTAGAAGGATCAAGAAGACACAAAATCAACTTAAGTTCACATGGCTCCTATAGGACACATACAAAGCTTGTTTCCCACCGGAACCCAGAGAACTATGCCATTGAATTCACTATATGGAGCTGAAAGCTAAGGCCTGGAGAGGCGTAACACACTCCAACTAGGACAAGACATGTAGGACCAGATCCTGGGCTTTCTGCTGACCTTCCTCCTAACCTGGAGAAGAAGTACGGAGAAAGCAAGTGGACCTGGGAACAATTTCCATCTTCTGATGCTCCGGAGTAAGAGCATGGTTCCAAAGGAGTATAATGGCATCTGCCCAGGTCATAGAGTCAATTCCTAGGAATGCTCCTATTTCTGAAAAAATAAATAAATAAAAATAAAATAAATAAAAAAAAACTCCTATTCTCTCTCCACAGCTCATTTTTAACCCCAAAGCATAAGAACTTTAGCACTACTAGTGAGGCACGGTTACTTCCTAGGATGTCCTGGGATGCCGGATACTTTAAAAAAGCACCTATGAAACAAAGGCATAGAAAACACAGACTTGAATGAAGAGAAGAGGTGCCAAGCACCGCTATGTGCCATGTCTCATGTGGATGTTGCTGAGAGCTACTCCCCCCTGCTTTAAGGAAAAGATAACTTGGGTTCACAGAGGTTGAAATGGTAACTGACAAGCTAGGCTCGTCCAACTCCAGAGCACATGCCTCTTGACCTTGGCCAGCCTGTAACCTACATCACATGTACTGTCTTTGCTCAGCCTCAAGCTGGTGTCCCTTCTTCTCTGTGCTTTGTCCAAACTGACAAGCCCTCTTCTTCCCCTTTTTCTGTCTCTTCTCAATTTCCACGTTCACTTCTTCTCTTTCTGGTTAAGCCTTCCAGTGTTCTGGCAACTTGTTCCAAAGCCCATCCCACAGACAGACACTGGGACCACACACACACACACACACACACACACACACACACACACACACACACAAATCTCGCATCCTGATTAGCCCTAGATTCTTGCTTCAATCTACCATGCCACTGTAATAGCCAACTACTCAGCTTGTCAGTGGTCAGCCCAGACCTCACCCCCTCCAGTGAGGTTTCCTTGATTAACAAAATGCTGCTCTTTGATTGGGTTCTTTCCCCTAAACTAGGTTATTGCCTTAGTGGAGCATATGCTGATATATTGGTTCTTTTGCAGATATGTGTCCATGTACTTGTTCACCAATACAAATCCTCCATGTCTTAGGGGCTTCTCAGCTTCCTATATGGACCCCAGCTATGGAGAAATAATCCCAACATTCCAGAATATCTGCACAGGCCCTCCTCCACCCCACCCCCACACTGCTGCCAAGAGACACGCTTTGGGGCACAACAGGGGCAGGTGTGGTGAGAGCTTTTTGAGGGATGGGACCAAGAAAAGAATTAAAAGGAACATGCAATGACAAGCCACCCAGGCCTGAGGGACTCTGCCAGGGCTGTGGGAGAAGGAAATTTCAGGGGAGTGGGGAATGCTGAAGCCTGGGAGGAGTGCAGGGGAGTCACAGACAATGGGGAGGTGGGGCAAGATGTTGAAAGCTGACAAATGGCTGAGGAGGGGCCAAGGCTTTTTAATGCAAGCCAGAAAGGTGCAGAGCAACTGGCAGATTCATTGAAGGCAAAGAGGACAGCCCCCAAGAGTCACTGCTGGGCAGTGGGGGGGGGGGGCAGCAGAAGCCAGAGAAGGGGAACCAAAGAGGCGTGAGAGAGAGAAACAGTGAATGCTGTATCAATCTGTACTGGGGCAGGAGTGGGGATGGGAGACTGTCACACTCCTAGTTACACATTTCTAGCTGTATGGCCCTAGGTAAGTTACCAATCCTCTCTGAGACTAAGTTTCCTCATTTGTAAAATAGAGGCTAAATCTACCTTCCAAGGAAACTGCAGGGTGTAGATTGTAGATAAAGGGATACTATCGCTGTGAACATTTTGGCACAAGCCCCTTGCTGAAAATTGTGGAGGACTTGTGCAGGATTTGTGAAGACCATGAGTTTGCCATGGGGAAGGTAGTGTTGCACCCCAAAGAAATGATGCTAGCAGCCAGTGCCTGTAGCAGAAGGGAGTCAGGGTTAAATGCAAGGAACCCTGGCTGAAACCATGGAAAGTCTGCCTGTTCTATGGAGTGGAGCAAAGCCCCATGGGGGCAGCAGGCTGGAAGACAGGCTGCAACTTGGAGCCCCCAAAAGGCTTTCCAGCTTAGCATTAGGACGTTTGGAAATGATTGTTCATTCTGGAGAACCTCCCAGAAGCCCAAGTTCCCAGCCCAACCCAGCAACAGAGCACTGATCAACTTGAAGACATCCAGTTTCTTGGACTGATCGGAAAGCTGATAAAAGCAGGGCAGCAAGTCCAGCAAAGCAATGGGAGCAACAGAAAGCTTGACGCAGGACTGCTGGAGCACCTGGCTCTTTAATTTGGAGATACCTCGTGGGCCAAAGGGCTAGGCAATTGGGTGGCATTCTCAAGGCTCCTCCTCAGACCAAGAACTTTCCCAGCCTAGACACACACGTCTCATCCAAGGTCAGATGGAGTTAGAATGGTGGTGAGCCAATGGCTGTTCTTCCTGCTCACCATGTCCTAGATAAAAATCTCTGCAGCTGAGAAGCTGGTGGAATTAAATTTAGAATTCTATTGTGACCCGCCCTGCTGGCAAAGCTCCCCTGGGATCCACAGGTATTCCTGCCAGTTAGTATCTGAGGGAGGATGGGGGATGGACCAGCTTCGCTCTCCTACCTTATGGGAAAGTAGGATCTCAGCATTATGGGATACCCCCACCAAGCCCCTACTGGGGCCTCCTAGGTCCTGTCACAGTAACGATGGAAACCACATGAGATAACACAATCAAAGCATTCTGTACAGTTTATAGAATTGCTTGTTATTCTCATCAGGATGATCTGGGTGTGATGGTGAGACTGCTCATTGACCACACCAGAGAACCTTTCTAGAGTCTTCTGATGCCTCCCAGGGCCCTAGTTCAAGCCCTAAAGGACACCCTAATGCCCGAAACATAAGCATATAGATTCTAGGTTCTAGAATCCTTGCTTGTCTTCTCTACCCCTCCCCATATTTCTTATGCCCCTGTCCTGGAGCATCTCCCTGCCCACAATCCTAGAACTTGGGCATTTATTTCCCTCCAGGTCCACAGTTTCCATTCCAATCAAGTCTTTGGAAATTAGAAGGTAAGGCTGTGTTTTCTGGGACAATACCAACTTCAGTACAGAAGGATGGGGAAAGATGGCCTATGGCTAGCCCTGTCCTGATGCTTTTTCCCAGAGTCTCCCTGGATTCCCTTCGAGCATCATACACATATGAGTGATCTCAGCCCACACCCCCAACTGAGTCTAGTGCTGCCGGAAAGCTCCAGTTTGTTTTACGCTCCTGGCTCTGTGCTTGGCCTTCCCTGGTGTCTGACCTTATTCTTCCTGTTAAGCATACAAAGTAGGATCCCTTGTTTTCCTCTGGCTCTCCCACAGCAGAAATGTGAAGTGCCTCCATGCACATGTCTCCATCATCCTTTGTGACTACCCTCAACCTGATAACTCCCCAGGGGGCCTCTCACAAACAGCTGGTGTCTCTCACAAAGAATCAAATCTACTGTAGTTCTCACCTGTCCAAGTGGGTCATCACCTAGACAAACCTCCTTGTCTAGACAAGCTCTTCAAATCTCTGCAGCTAATAAATTTATCTCCCTCTGCCCTTGGCTTCTCTCCAGACCCTCCAGCCATTCTCAATGGCCAGGCTTATGTCCACCACTACTGCCCTGGTCACTGTTCTCTCAACAGGCTCCTGTCTGTTACCAGTCTTGGCATTCAGAGCCCCCAGAGTGGTCTCACAACAGAAGAGCCTGAACAGGGCTCTTCCTGAGTCTCCTTTTCCTGGTTCCCATAGCTGTCTTCAGTCACCGCCACACCCTGTTGACTAATGTGTTCCCACTGACAGGTAAACACTGTCAGTCATTTCTCTGCTGTCTATCCACCTCTCCTTGGCTACTGCCCAGTCTCCAGGCTCTTGGCTTTTTACATTAAATACAGAACTTTGCTTTCATATCCTCTTTCTCTTCTTCTGTTGGGACAATCCCTCTGCTCATCTCTCCCCTCCCTAGCCTGCTTCCAACATACCTGCTACCAAGACATGTCAGGTGTGCCTGGGAACACATCTCACCAATATAGGCTGTGGTCAAAACTGAATGCATCTCATATCTAAATTCTACCCATATTCCTTCATTGAATGAGAAGCCAGGTCACAAATCTTACAAGACACCCTCACACAGACTCTGAAAGTCCATATAGGAGGTAGTCATGGAGTGGTTGTCTCCATTTTTTAAAATTTCTGCATCTTGCTTCACTTAAAGAATCTATTAAAGCTGCCCTGGACCTTCTCCCCAATCAGTGAATGGGCCTCCACTCAGCAAATGCCCCCAAAACCTGCTTCCTCAATGCCTAGTTTAATCTAGTTCCCTCTCACACATTCTCGACCTTTATCTTTTCATCTCCTACCCAGAGGACCTTCCCTGGCTCCCTGCCCACATCTGCCCCTGCTTTAACCCCAAGCCCCACACCACTTTCCAGTCTCCAGAAGCTAGCTCTGCCCTCCAATGACCCCTGCTGCAGCCCCACATCCCAGCTCTGAGCCTGTTTGGGTCCTGGGGGTGAGTCGTGTTCCCACCATCAAGCTGGGGAGCCCACAACACGATCTGCTTTCTCTTCCCTCTGAACTTCTTTTCCCCTCTCCTGTCCTTGTGTTTCAACACCTCAAGATTCAGGAGCCATTCTCCGTGCCTATCCCACAATAATTCACTCTAGTATGATTGCAACCCATAATAAGCTATCACAGGAGCTACACAGCTGTGCAGCTGACTTTTGAATGATTAGCAAGGGTGAAAGCTTGGGAGGATGAAGACAATAGTCCTTGGGGACCCATGATAGCACCACAGGAACGTGCTTGGCTTACAAGCATAAGGACCCACACTGTTCTCCCAAAACCCACAATTTAAAAGCCTGGCATATGACACACACTTGCAATTTTAGCAACAGATTAGGCAGAGATCAGTGAGTGCATGTAGCTCACTGGACAGTTCACCAGATTAGCCTAGTTAGCTTGGCAGATCACAAGCCAATAATAAGAGAACCACCACCCCACCACCACCCCTAACCCCCCCTGCCACTGCCATCCAAAAAGAAGATAGACAATACCCAAAGACAAACAGCTGAAGTCCTCTGGCTCCATGGGCACATACCTACACACATACACATACACACACAAACACACATACACACATGTGTCTGTAAACATATATACCTATACTCACACAAGAAAAATAATAATAGTAATAATAGTAGTAAAACTTGACTTCCCAAATTTGAATTAATTTCAAAGAACAGAAGAAATAATAACTCATTTCCTGACCACACAATGTACTGAGATCACAGAAAAATTTATTGTAGAAAAAAACAGAACTGCCAAACCCTTCAAAGTACAACTTCCAACCAGGCAATGAAGTCACAAGCATTTCCCAGGGGACCCTTGCAGAGAAGCCCTTCCAGACAGAATTACAGACTCAGCAAGCCAGTGAAGGTCTCCCCAGAACTTGGAAGCAAGGCCACATTCCCTCTCTAATGGCTGTTAATTGGGTGGTACTTTCCTCTTCCTGCCCATCAGCACAATTCAAGGATTTTTCATAGAACCATAAATTAAATTTTAAATTAGGAGACAAAGTCTAACAACATGTTCAGAATTAGAGATCAGAAGGGACTTAGGAGGTCTGAGAGAGAACATAGAGTTGCCTGAAGCGCCACCACCCCCCCTCCGGGTCCTTTCCAGACTGGTACAAGTCTGGATCTCTCCACAACCTAAGTCAACACCTCTCATTCCTCAGGCCCAGACACCTCTACGGAGCAGTGCTGCCCTACAGGTGTGCGGTGTTTGGGTGATTCTCAGAACTTGCTTTGGGAGCAGAGTTCTGGAAGGGACTGGCTCGAGGTACAGGAGGTTGCTGGAAGGGGGAGAAACAGAAACAAAACTTGCTTGTCTCCCACCCCATCCCACCCTGCCCACTGCTGGGAACAGCCATTCCCTGGACAAGGGCTTTAGTTCTTGTGCCTACTGAAATATCCCTACCTGGGACTGTTAACCCAGGAGATAACATAGGCTAGCACAGGTATGACCTACAGGTACTGAATCAGAATGACAAACCTACCCTTGCTGTCATGGTGAAGAAGCATGAGGCTACCCAGCAAGGGGCCCCTATGGCCCTTGGCTCAAGCGAGCCCCTCACTAAACAAGCTGGCCTTGCAGTAGGCTTCTGTGAGTGAAGATTTCAGAAGGGGCGCGGGGGGGGGGTGTTAATATTTACTGAGCTACCCAGTTTTGACATCCTAGTGAAATTGTTTTCCAAGTTCTTTTTTTTCCGATGCTGGACAAGGCCGCTGGGGATTAGGACCCAGCAAGAGCATGTGTCTTTGACGAACTAAAGAGGTTGTGAATCTGACCTGCTTCCCCATCTAGAATCTGGAAGTGACCTGGAAGCTTGCTGAGACCCGTTGTGAAAAGGTAGCTGAGAGAGCCCGGGAGGGCTTGGAGAGGAGAAGGCGGCAGGAGAGGTCCTGCAGCCTGGTGGCCGCTACTCCACCACGCGCCTGCGCGAGCTGTGGGTGGAGGTTTGCACTATCTGAGTGCGGGAGGAGCCGCCGCTCCGGCCGCCGCCGCTGCCGTATTTGCTGCTGCTTTTGCTGCTCGAGCCATAGCTGCTGCCGCCGCCTCCACCGCCGCTCCCGCGGGAGCCTGCTCCTCCTCCTCCGTAACTGCCGCCGCCGCCGCTGCGGGAGCTGCTGCCGTATCCTCCACCGTAACTGCTGTATCCACCACCTGAGCCCCCGCCGCTGCCGCCTCCGTAGCTGCCACTACCTACGGTCACCTGACTGCTCTGTACAGCTGTACCAAGGAAGAACAGACACACAAGAATCAGAAGGACCCAGCAGAGGGGACCAAGCTGCACCTGCCATGAGCGCCTGCAGCCCCTGATCCACTTTGCGAACAGAGGCATTGGAAGTCAACTGAGCACTTCAAAAGAATGCAGGCATTCATGTAAGTGTGCTACCCCTGTTTAGGGACAGGTCCTCAGTGCTCAGCTCTTTTGGAAGACATCTCCTAATGATCTCCAGCCAGTGTCGTCAAGTATCACAAGCAAGAAAAGCAGGCCTTTTGTATGAGAGTAGAAAACAAAGGCCACCCCAACCAGCCCATCCAACCTCCATCCCTGGATGATGCTACTTACAGATGCTCACTTGACTCTGCAGCTCCCCTGACATCCTGTGAAATAAAAGCAAGGCCATCAGCTGTAGGAGCAGAAACGCTAGTATAGGAGTAGAGTAGGGCTGTCCCGGAGGACTTTCATGAAGCCGTGTAGCATTTACGGGTCATACCTGGCTGCACCTAGCTTAGGCTGGTGTTCAGGAGCATGGTGCTTGGGAGAAGTGGGGCGATAGCAATGGCTTCTCCCCTACCCTTCTAACCTATACATCCCAACTTGAATGTTTCTGCTCATCCTGAACCACCAATATTTCTAGGGATGCCTGGAAATGCCTTTCTTCATTCTCATGGGACCCACCTGCTCTCCTCGCCCTCCAGTAGCTTGCGGTAGGTGGCAATCTCCACATCCAAGGATAGCTTGGCCCCCAGCATTGCCTGGTAGTCTCTCAGCAGCCTGGCCAGCTCCTCCTTAGACTGCTGCAGGGCCTCATCCATATCTTGCAGCTTCTGCTTTGCATCCTGGAGAGCTCTTTCTCCTCTCTCCTCTGCATCAGAAATGGACCCATGCATCTGTTCAATCTAGACCAGAGACAAATGAAGGAACACAGAGGTATTGAGCGCCTGGAATCTGACCTGGGCCTTAGAGGAGGTAGCATGTCTGGTGAACCCACCATGAGCACCCGTCCACCCCACCTGCTTCTTGACACTGGCAATCTCTGCCTGCAGCCTCTGGATATTGCGGTTGAGCTCTGCGATCTCCATCTTGCTATTCTTCAGGTCATCTCCATGTTTCCCTGCTGTGATCTGCAGCTCCTGGTACTATGGGTCAGAGGCAGCACCATGGTCAGCATCAGTGGTTCATTGGAGTCTCCCAGAGAAAGCTCTAGACTACTCTTTCTTGGAGTAAGGTAACCTAGAGTTGTGATCCTACCCACCCCAAATGTCCCTCAGCCTTGGAGCAAAAAGACATGTGCAGACACACATTCACAACACACACGCGCGCACACACACCTATAACAAGTCTCCTTCCTCCCTCAATTCCACCAGTCTCTGGGCAGGCTCATATTCCACCCAGACAAACCTGTTTCTTAATGCCCTTTACCACATTTCTTACACCTAAGCCTTCACACCATCCTTACCCACACTGGGACCTCCATCCCACCCTCCCATCCACCATACTCCTTGTCCCTTTTCCAGAGTGATTCTCCTAGCAGGCAGGAGCTCCCGGCCTCAGAAGCCCTCAGAGCACCCATGTTCATTGTTTTCTCTCTCCTGTGCCACATTGCTTCAGCAACCAGACTACACACTGGGCACCCTCAGGAAGTGCTGACAAAGAAGTGTGCATTCTGAAAAAACTCCCCATCCCCAGTCCCATGACAAAATCCACTGACTGCATCCCAGAACATCCACTTTCAGATTGTGGAATAGACCCTAGAGTCAGTGACCCTAGAGTTGGCTCCAAAATCCATAAAGTAGATCACCACATCCTGCCTACTTAGAATTCAGTGACTGGGCTGCCAGCCTTTGTCCCTTCAACTAGTCTTAACCATTCAGAAACATGAATTCATACCTAAGAGGTTAATAGAAAGATGCGCCCAATGGCAAAGTGACAAGTGATCACATAATAAATTCCCATACTGCTAAGAAAGTTGTAGAATATTTAGAGTCACAGAAAGTCATTCCTAAGTGATATATGAAAGAGAAAAATAGAAAATAAAGATAGTATTATGAAAAATAAAAACAACAGACATTGTGGTGGTTAAAGGACATGCTTGTAATTTGCACTTCTGAGTTTAGTTAAGGTTTAATGGCAGTTGCTTGTTAAGAGTCTTAGGAAAATTAGGCAGTCTGGCACCTATGAGTATTAACTAATAATAAATAACTAAAACAACCAAGTCTTCTGAAGTCTTTATCATTGACATGTTACACTTTAAAGTCAGGAGGCAATATCAGTTTGGGAAGTGTCTGTCTACTTGGGGGTGCAAACTCAGAGCCCGAGCTCACCTTAGTCTGGTACAGAGCCTCGGCCTCGTCCTTGCTCTTCTGTGCAATCAGTTCGTATTGCACGCGCACTGCATCAATGATGCTGTCCAAGTCCAGGGAGCGGTTATTGTCCATCGACAAGATGACATTGGTGTCACTGATATGGGTCTGCATCTGGGACAGCTCCTGTGAGACATGGAGCCTAGTTCACTCCTTCCACTCATTCATCTCTCTGCTTCTCCCTTGAAGCTGACTGGGGAAGCCAGAAACTGAGCTAGAAGGCCTCTTGGGGAAGAACTCTCTACATTGTTATATGCTGTGGAACATACATGGAGTGTCTTAAGTATTTCCACTAAAGGTGATGGGGCCCAGGTGTCTTGGCAGGAGGAAGAAGCCCCATTATCCCCCTCTCCATCATGGCTCTTTTGATCTCGTTGTCCCAGCCTAGCTCTGGCTTCACCACCTTTTTGGTACAGCTCTTCGAAAATCACAGTTGCTCCTTGTAGCCATAAGAGCTCTCAGCAACCACAGAAAGGACTCCAGTTTGGAGTCACATGACTGGCAACTTGACCAAGCAAATAACTGAATCTCTCAGTTCATGCATTCTTCTACTGAATTGACATTTCTGTAAGGTACGAAGAGCTTCTAATACAGCATTCAGTTTGGAACATGAACTCCCGAGTTGGACACAGGTGACAGGTGGACTTAAGAAGCAAACTATCCTGATCACCTTCAGTTTGTCTTTTCCACAAAATCCCTTCTATCATTTTCTACAGGGTTTTCCCAGAGCCTGATGGATTTCCCACAGAGCACAAAGATCTGGTTGTTACCTTCTCATCCCGGGTGGCCTGAGAACATGAAGCAGGAAACTGCTTTTCCCTCACCTACTCGAGATTCTCACGGCCCCACCTACTCGAGATTCTCACGGCCCCACCCACATTTCCACTGCCCCCACAAGAACCCTTGCAGTTGAGGGAATGGCTGCCCCAATGTGAAGAGCTGAGGTCCTGGTGAAATGAGCCTTCTCCAGCTCATGCTCTTATGGGAAGCGGAGAAAGGGACTTCCCAGGACTGAACTCACCGTGTCAAATAGATATTTCAGGAAGTTGACCTCCCCGTACAGGGTGTCCACTTTGGACTGTAGATCTGATTTGCCCATGAAAGCAGCATCCACATCCTGAAAGACAAAAACGTTTGACTTCATAACCCAGGCATCTCCTGCCACCAGCTTCATGGCTGGCACGGGGCCAGTGGTAAATGCTCTCTGGGTTTAGTTCTTGGCTCAAATCAGGGACCTTGAAACTGACTTTCCTAGCTAGAAAGGTACACATGGGTCAACTACATCTGCTCTCCAGATCCCAAGACAGTGTCTGTCTGACTTCCTTTCTGTGTAGGTGCCCTGCATTTGGGCAGAGCACATGCCATGCTAGTACAAGTGTTCATTCACCCTGTCCACAACACAGAGAATCCTCCTGGGTTCTGTCCTACCCAATCCTCAGATCCACGAGGAAGCCCCTTTCCCTTACCTTCTTCATAACAACAAAGTCATTCTCAGCATTTGTCCGCTTGTTGATTTCATCCTCATACCTGTGATGGAAGCAAGAAGCAGGCTGCAAGGGCTAACCTTGACACTCTGAGGCTCCACCTCCCAGCAGAAGGCCCACACTTCCCCAAGCCTCCACTGTCCTGAACTCAGACAGCCCTGCTCCCAGCACTGCTGGCCCCTGCCAGGGCCTGGTGTTCTGGCCTCACTGATGAATGGCTGGGGGTGGCTCCCAATCCTACTGACCAATAGTGAAGACAAGGACCAGACATGAGACACATAGAATGTCCCCAAATGTCCATATTTGTTCTGATACAACTTTACAAATGTTTACTTCAAGCTTTTCCATTAAGATCATAAAGTAACAACCACTTTAAATATTTCAAGAGAAAAATATTTCACCTATAGTTCTGGCCCCATATGTGACCTACAAGTGTGAGTTTTATTTTTCCCTGTAGACTCACACACACACACACACACACACACACACACACACACACACACACACGTGACCCTCCAGTGACCCAACACAGTAAGCATGCCAATGTAATGCTAAGAGAAGCACCTGTACCCCTTGAGGTGGGAGACTGTAGAAGAGGTCCCCACAGTTTCTCATGAACAGCTGGTCTGAAAGTCAGCTCCTGTCATCCCTACCATTATTGCCAGTAATTGCTGATGCTTAGTAATTGCCAACACCAAGAACTATTAAATATCGTTTCATTTCAATCAGTGTTACTCTGTGGGGTCCCCAATCTGCTAACATTAGCATCACTTGGAAATATGTTCAAGATATATCTGTTCTGGCTGTATCCCAGACTCACTAGATCAGAATCACTGGGGTAGGGTGCAGAGTCTGATGCAACGTGATACATGCTAAAGTTTGAGAACCACAGATCAATTCCTCACAGTACTTAGCAAGGAGGTCACACTCCAGACAGAGAGATGAATTTGTGGCAGGGCTCACTCATTTCCTCATCCTTTGCTCTTCCCTGCTCAATATAATTGACAGCTGGCTGTCATTGCTATCCCACCAGAACTGTCCTATGTAAAATGTCATCCCCTGCAGTTATACACCGAAGAGCCCACATGACTGCCCCTGGCCCACTGCAGTAGCAGGAGCCTGAATGCTCTCCTTGGCCCCTCCCCCACCTGGGTCCTTACTTGTTCTTATAGTCCTCCACGACATCTTGCATGCTCCTGATTTCCAAGTTTTGGCGCGACCGCTCAGAGTTCAGAAAATCCACCTGCCTCTGCAGCTGACTGATGTAACTCTCAAAGACAGGCTCCAGGCTGCTGGTTCGAGTTGAGGTGTTCACCTGCTGCAGCAGCTCCCATTTTGTCTGTAGCACCTGGTTCTGCTGCTCCAGGAAGCGCACCTAAACAGCAAGGTTGCCAGGGTACCCAAGGTCATGAGTCAGAACAGCTTTCTCCGTGGGAAGAGCAGTCAGTGGCCTTGCAGCACACTCAAACATCAGAAGTTCCAGGTGGGCCTTTAGGGCATTGGGGGAGATAATGTGGTTTCTCATGTCACCTCCAGCCCATTTCATCCAGCTACACCCCCTGACATAACAGAGCTGTCACTCCACACTCAGTTTATCCATGCCAAAATGAGCAAGTGCCATTTCCTTTGTCTTTATGACTGGAGTGTGGCGCATAACTGAGGACGAAAGGCAGACGTAACAGCAGGTCTCGCAATGCCCTGGACAAGCTTCAGTGGGCGTCCCCTGCACCCACTACCATGTTTGCTGCCTGCAACTGTAGTTTTCAAGACAGAAGCCTCATTTAAATGCTGTTATAACTCAGTCAGAATTTTTAAATAAAGTGCTTTCACTTTTTAAAATCCTGAAATGTATTTAAATGCCCCAAGTAAGAACTTTGGGCTGACAGATATTTGGGAAAATGCCTAGATTACCATTTCCAGGAAATAGAGCATGGACATGGCCCTGGGGTTTTGTTTTGGTTTGGTTTTTCATCACTTTTTCCCCTCAAACTGCGGGAACAAAGATTGAATAGATCAAGTACATGGATTGTCCTTCATATCACAAAAATCCAGCTTTCACTGTTCCCCTGCTGGTGGCCCACGGTGGAACTTCCTCTCCCATGCAATGATAGAGATGGCTGTGCCAACTATGTGCTTCCCTCAGGGACTATGCGCATGTATGCACACACATACACATTCCCACACATTCATATGCACATATAAATATGTGCATCATATACCCACACAAATACTCACACTCTCATGCACAGGCAAACTCACATATACTCACATTCACATGCACACATTCACACACACATTCCTATAGAAATATGTTTAGAAACACCTCCATTCATATACATACATATGTATATGCACATTAAGAGAGAGGGAACGAGATCTCCAAGCCCAGCTCCCTCCTCCAGGAGCTGGGAAAGGGTGTGGGGAAACCACTGCTTTGTGGGCTCAGAAGAGCACTTTGCAGACACTATGCTGTGATGAAGTACTATAAGCCACCAGAATCCTCGGGTCCCTGAGACTCCACATGTCTAAGGGTCCAGACCTTGCCAAGCCCCTGTGGATTCTGACTCTAATCAGAAGGATGTGTGCAGAGAGGGCTGTCTCTCAGGCTTACCTTGGCTGGCTGTATCACAGCAAGGGATTGGGCAACCAGCTCCCAGAGCAGACATGTCGGCACAGCTTGTAACACCCCCATGAGGAATTCTTGCTGCTATCTATTTTTATTCTGTGGTGGCACTCCCAGGGAGTGGGGGAAACATCAGTTCTACACACCATTGCAGCTGTATGTTCGCTGACAGTGGCTTAGTGGGGATGGACCTTCTCAGATGGTGGCTTTCATTCCAAATAAGACAAGGTGTCAGTGGCGGAAGTTATGAAGGAGAGAGCGCTGTCCTTTCAAGGAATGGCTCTGCTGTGCTATTGAAAATAGGTCAGGCTGCACTAACAGGAAATCAGAAACCAGGCTGAGAAATTACAGTAACAAATTCTTGCTTTCTTCCTGACTGGAGGCCCTGAGGCTGATAACCATCATAGCCCACTCCAAAGGGAGGGCAGGAAGCCACTATCTCCTGTCCCTTGGTACCCTGCTTTAAAATGAAATGGGCCTCTGCTGATGGCAGAAGCCTTGATCCAGTGAGAATCCCAGATTAATTTCCAGAAGTCTGTGGTACTTTGTTGTTGTCAGTTTTCCCTGCTCCACCCTTAGCCAACCTTGGCCTCCTGGTAGCATCTCTTTCACCATGAAATCCTTGCTCCAGGAAAACCTTCCCATCTCTGCCTGTTCTCCAGCACATTGATGTCCAAAAGTGTTCCTCACCCAGAGTGATCAGAAGTAGCCACAAGCACATGGTTCTGTTGAACTCCCTGGGGCTGCCATGACCTTCCCTCCATGCCCTTCTCCTGCTCACACACTGCTCCATCTCCAACACTTGCCCTGATAGTACACAGTGACCATTGTGCCTCTCTCAGCAAGTGCCAAAAGGAAGACTCTTACTGTCTGCCAACCTCTCCTATGAGAGCTGAACATGAGGCATGAATTGGGTTAAAGGGTGTCACGGTGGCCCTGTTAGCCCCAGACAACATAAGAACAACTCAGAATGTTTCGTTATGCGTTACTGACCTTAGTTTCTGGGAGACCTGCCACAAGGACATTCACTTGAAGCCCACAACAGTTTCCCAGCTGCGGTTGCTGCCTGCCCCACTATTATATCACCACCACCCTCCCTTCTGTCACTTTCCCAAAGACGTTGACATTTGACAGTCCCTAAAGGGCTCACGCTTTTCATGCCTCCTTGCTGCATGGGCATTCTGATCTCTGTCTGAGAGCTGTTTGGCTCTTCTTCAAGACCCAGATAAGATCTGAGGTCTCTTAGTGAAACACTCTCAGTACCCAGCAGGCATAGCTCATGGCTCCTTCAGGCTACCATGACCCAAAGAGTACCACGCACACTAACACGTCTCCTATAAACTGTCACAATTCTCTGCCATTCAATTTTGGGGCTCCCTATAGCTTCTGGGTATGGTGGCATACACTAAACCTAATGAAATAGTTGTGAATTGAATAATTGAATGGGAGTAGTACAAATGGGTAGGTAGACTGATAGGTAGGTGAATGGGTGGACTGATAAACATTTGAGTGTGTAGCAGGGAATGTGTGCAGATGTAAATTGGTTATGCAAATGACTGTGTGTAGAACTATGTGTAGATGATACTTATTGTGGATAATAAATGGGTGGGTGGATAGATATATAGATGGATGAATATGTATGGATGGATGGAAGGATGGATGGATGAGGGTGGGTGGATGGGTAAATATATTGGATTGATGCATAGATACATGGCTGTAGGTAAGTAGATAGATATAGCTAGATGAGTGAATGGATGGATAGATGGATGTATGGAGGTGGATAGATGTGAATAGATGTATGGGTAATGGATGGATGTGTGTGCCTGAGTGGATAAGTGGATGGATAGATGTGTATGGATGAGTAGATAAATGGATGGTATATGTGGGTAAGTTGAAGGATGAATGGATGTGTGTGGATAGGTGGATAAGTGGATGGATGGATGGATGTTGTTGAGTTGGTAGGTGGATGGATGGATAGACACGTGTGTACAGATGGTGGGTAGAAGAATGGATGTTGGGGACGGGTGATTAAATGAGTAAATGGGTGACTAAGTACGATAAATGGAATGTGGGTAATGATGACTGAGAGTGAGATTATTATCATGTGTATCTGTTGTGTTTGTCACACCCCCTTATCTGCTTTCCTACTAAAAGGGAAAGATAAAAACAACACATCCCTGAGAAGCCTACATTAAATGCTATCTCTGTGAAAACTTCGGTCACAGTTTTCACACTTGTTGGAGTCCCAGAACACACTTAAGAGGAAGTGACTGTCATCATCAAACTGAAACAGCACAGTAGTAGCAGTACTATGACAGAGTGTGACAGCCTCTTGGCCATTTGGATGATGATCAAGGACTCTATCTGGCCCTGAGATACTCACCTTGTCGATGAAGGATGCAAACTTGTTGTTGAGGGTCTTGATCTGCTCACGCTCCTGGGTCTTCACCCTCTGAATTTCAGGGTCCACCTCCAAGTGTAGGGGCTCCAGGAGGCTCTGGTTAATAGTCACTTCATGGATACCCCCAGAAGGATAAGAAGGACCAAAGCCCCCAAACCCAAAATTGCTAGCACCAAATCCAGCACCCCCAAAGCCACCTCCAAACCTGCCACCACCATAGCCACCACCTCCGAAGGCACCACCTCCAAAGCCACCACCTCCAAAGCTTCTTCCTCCTCCAAATCCTCCTGCTCCTCCACCTGGGCAGAAACCACTGGCACTTCTCCCCACTAGGCTCCCAAAAATGCTTTTACTACCACCCAGACTATAGAGACTCCTGGAGCTAAACCCCCCTCCATAACCACCTCCACCACAATGCCCCCGTGACACAGACCCCACAGCCTGTCTCCCACCGCCAAAGCCTGAAGAGGACCTGCTGCTATAGGCCCTCCTGCTCCTTGAGCTAAATGCAGACTGAGAACTAAACCTGTGGCTCATGGTTGCTAGAGCAACCAGAGGTGGGAAGCAAGGGCCCAGCTGGAAGGAAGCAGAGAGCAGGGAGGGAAGGAGTTGTGACTCCCTTGGAAAAGATCTGGCTTGGTCCCTATATATACACACACACCTGCTGGGCTGGGTGCCTGGGAGGGGAATATTTGCTAGTAACATCTGCTTAAAAACCTCACACCTATGTGTTGCTGAAATTACACTGCGGACAAACTCCCCCAACTTGATCATTTATCATTCATCTCTTACTACGGAGGGAGAGCGAAGGGTAGCAATCTCTCTGGATCTCCGTGTTGGAAACTCCTGTAGAGTTTCTCCTCAAATCTCAAATTGATCTTTTTCCTAAGAAGCACCATTGAGTTGTTTGTTTGGGGGTGTGCCTGGGAGATGTGCAATAAAACTGTGGAGTGTCTGATGACCTTGGGACCACAGCTGGGATGAGAGTGGAGACACTCCCTATGACAGGGCTGTCCCTGTGCTAAAAAGTGGTTTTTGTTTTGTGTGTGTGTGTGTGTGTGTGTGTGTGTGTGAACAAAATATTTTGTGAGCATCTCCCAAACTATCCTCTTCTAATAATCCTAAACTGACACTTAAAATATTTTTGCAAAAAAAAAAAAAAAAACAAAAAAACAAAAAGTAGTTATCCTTTAAGGGACATGTAAAGACCACAGAGGTTTTTTTAAGCCTTAATTTGGATTTTATTATTATTATTATTATTAATTTATTTGACCAGCATGAAATTGCCCTCCTAGTAAAAAAAATAGCAATAATAACAGTAAGTTCCTAAAGGGTTACTTTCAAATTCTATACTTATAAGGGAATAGCAGTGAAAGAACCATGAGCATTCTCTGAGAAAGACTGTCCCCAATAGGGGGCCTACTGTGAAGTTCATGGAGTATATTTGTATCATCTAATAGAGTATGTTTTTGTTTCTGGATACAAATAGTTGGGGGATTGCATCCAAAATGTACTAATCAATGTTTTAAACATGAAGAGAAATAATAAATGTCCAGTTTCAGAAGAAAAAAAGATTGGGTAATGATTTCTCCACATGAAGACAATTATTTGAAATCTGAAGAAAGTATAATAGGACCGGGAAAGTCATAGTATAATAAATGTTACAGAGGGCCTGGATGCTCAAAAGTCACAAGGAACATGAATCACTCTCTTGCAAGTTGTTGAACACCTTTTCCTAAGGTTTTAAATGCCCTTATTCTATCTGTTCATGCAATAAATAAAAGAAAAAAAGCAATAGTTGGGGGCTAACTCCCAAGTACCCCAAATTTGGGGCAAAAATCCTAATCAAGGTAGGAGAGATAAGGTGGCTTGAAAAAGAAAAGAGATGTGGCTGGGAGCAGCTTTGGAGAGAGACATCCTGCGGCTGGCCAGAGTCCATGCCTTATCACTCTCCACAGTGCTCTGAGTGTGGGTACCATTTAGTGGGTCATCTCCAGGCATCACTGTGGAGAGAAAAGAGAGTGAGCATGAGACATGGCCAAAAGCTCAAATCTCAGCTGCAGGTCCTGCTTCCACCTGGCTGCTGTCATCTCAGAAAAGCCACTTGCTCCAGAGCCTTGGATGCTACTTTCTTTCCAGACTCCATGAAATGAAGCACAGCAAAACCCTCCAAGTGTGTGTGGTAGCTGTTCTCTCCCTCCCATGGCTCCATCCCAATGAGCAACAAACATCCCACATCGTCTGTGATTTCCAACTTAAGCTGGGGCAGTGCTTTACAAGTCAAACCACATGGCCATCCTGGTCCTTTTTATCTGCACACAGCCCTTATTCCCAACCCTAGCCTCTAGGAACTTTAGCTAGGACAATGAAGCCAGGACCCCTTGCTCAAAGATAAAGAAAAGGCAATAAAGCCAGAGAAGGAGTTGAAAGTGAAATGCTAGAGATTCATACACATGAGAAAGTCATACACATGAGAAAGTTAAGCAGAGGCAGAAGCAGAGGAAGAGGGAAGAAAGTGGAAGAGGTCAGTTAAGAAGATGGGAGTGATACAATGGGCATGGCAACAGTGATTGATGAAGGGACCCTGGAGATGAGCATCTTTAAACTTGTCTTTAAAGCATGACTTGGCCCCTTCCCAGCCCCTTGGTTTGGACACTTGCCTCGTCAAGTCTGGGTTTCAGACCTCTGAAACAGAGAGACAACATCAGCTGCATAGGTGACACTAACAAAAGAGCAGCTGTCACTTGGCCAGATGAGTGTGGCTCCTTCTCCTAACACCTTCAGGAAGCTTCCATTAAGACTAAAGACCGTGAGGGACCCTCTGGTCCTCCGCAGTGCTTGTCTGTGCTGCTTGCTTGTGTTTGTCTCTCATCACCTCCAACTTCACACCCAACTAAATAAATAGGAAGCTCCTTAATGTTAGGACCAAACATGGCCCAAGAGCCCTTCCCTAAAATGTGCCCATCATATTGCTCGCAAAGGCTAGTGACAGATTCCTGTCACTCTGAGTGAAAGCAAAAACTAACACATAGATATTTTGAAGAAGGAAGAGCTTGAGCCCCACATTAGGCCAGCCTTGCCATGTCCTGAGTCTGTGACTGTTCTATTTACTGATTACTGATTCCCCCTCCCATCACTCTCTGCCTTCCATTAGCAAGTGTTCTCCTTAAAAGGCAAGTGGGAAGTCAGCTTGTCCCCACCTGACTCCCAAATACTGAAACCCAAGGCTGCCAAGAGGGAGAGGCCCAAGCAGCTATCAGCCACCAGAATCACAGTCTCAGCAGCAACTGGGGGCAGGGTTCGAGAGGACCTGCTGGTGTAACTCGCAGAAGCATCACCACAGACACGCTCCCCATCTCATCCAGCATCTCCCAGGGGCTGGGGTAGATATAGCATGGGCGTGGCAGAGAAAGGCCTGAGGAAGAATCTTACTCACCAGCCCCCACCCAGAAGGCAAACACCAGACCTATGGTACAGGTACATATGGGGCTTGTGCTGGCCTTGCAATAGGAGCTTTGGGACCTGTAATCTGGGGTGGCATAGATGAGGAGAGAGAAGCTGCTGGACAGAGCAGAAGCTCCAGCCTTGGTTTGCACCCAGCAGAAGTTACTTCTCCCTGGTCAAGTATCAGAACTGGACTTGCAATAGAGGTCACCAGTTGGCTGGCATCATTTCACAGGAGGACGTGGGTACAGAGAGAGAGAGACATGGTTCAAGTTACAGAGAAGGTTGGTAGTGCAGTTGGCATTGCAGCGCCTTTCTCCCAACCCCAAAAGAAAAGAGAGGCCAACAAGGAAGTCCCAGGCATCCTCTGCTCCTGAAGCCTGGGAAACAGGCACACTGAGGGCTATCACCATCTAGCAGGTCCCGTGACCAGGAGACAGTTTGGTAGATCATGTGACCAGGAGGAAGGTGGTATCTAGCACACAGCACATTATTGGGAAATTCTGGCTTCTGGTTTAGGGTGGCTGTTGAGCCATTACCTAACTCCCCAAAGCATACAGCACCTCATCTTTGGAACCCTCTCTGACTAGAATCCCAGGACCAGCCTGGGATTGAAGGATCAAGCAGTGTCCTTCTACCTTGTCAAACCTATTAGATGCTCTTAGCCCTCGAAGCCCCCATGAGGCCTCAGCACATCTCTGCAGATTCCCATGAGAAAGGTCCAGAGACAATGTTTGTTCTAGATGTAGCAAGGCTCTTCCATCCAATGTACTGGAGGTCTGACTTTTTAAACACCCTTCACCAAAGATGGCACTGCTTCTTGTCCCTGAGGTACAGGGAGCAGCTGGACATGTGTGGCCCTAAAGAAAAATAATGTTGTAGGCTGGACCCAAACTGAATTCCAAGAAAACCAGTAAGGTCCTAGCCTTGAATTACAGATGTCTGGGCAGAGGACACTTCCATATGTTGGATCAAGAGGGAGTCAAGACACACTCAAGGATTAGGGATCATTGGTAATAGGGTGGGAACTGGATAGAAAATATTCAGTAAGTACCAGGCTTATATGTCCCTTTCCCAAAAAAAGAGCAATATGCAAACATAAGGAATTAGCTATTGTTCTTTCCTCCATTTAAAGAATAATCAGGTTCTTGGAGCAATGTCATAAATGATATGACCCTTTATTGGGCTCTTACAGGGTATTTGAGCTCCATAGCCACATCTTTGTGGCAAAAGGTGCACGCATGGGTAGAGGCCAGAGATTGGTTTCAGGTGTCCTCTTCTATCATGCTTCATCTTATATTTTGAGACAGAGTCTCTCACTGAGCCACTTCTGCTGGATTGTCTAACCAGGTTCTCCTTGGATCGGCCTGTCTCAGTACCTCAAGCACTGGAAGTTACCATCTCTACACATCCATCACCAGGATTACAGACTCACCTCACACTCTCTGATTTTTATGTGGGTGCTGGGGATCTGAACACAGTCCTCAAGCTCACATAAGCATTTTACCCACTGAGCCATCTCCCCAGCCCCCATTTTTTTCTGCAGTGGACAAAGTTTGCTGTAACACAGGCTGGCCTCAAAGTCTCTGTGTAACCACCTCCTGATAGCTGTCTCCACCTCCTGAGAGCTGTGATTACAGGCTTGCATCACCATGCCTGACATATGAAGTACTACAGATGAGACTAAGGGCTTCAGGGATGCTAAGAAAGTACTCTACCAACTGAGCCACATTCCAAGCCATGCAACCACATTTCACTAATGACCTTTAGGTGTGGACTGGGGGCAATCAAGCAGCCAGTTACAAAGTGTGTAGCTCTGACCCCAGATCTCACCCTGGCAGACTGGCTCTGAAGCCAGAGACCCTGCCATTGTTCCTTCTGCTTCATGGAGTTAGCTTTTAGAGCTCAGTTGCTGGAATCTAAGTCTTGACTGCACCTCATTTGACTCCCTCTACGCATTCACTGTCCACTAATCTCTCCATACTACCATTTCCACACTGCCTACCTCATGGGACTGGGCAAGTTGGAGCAGTTAATTCATGAGACACTCTTATCACATAGCAGGGCTAATAGCAAGATCGCCATTTTAACAGTTATTATTCAAAGCAACCCTCTGTCAACTACACTGGGTTTTCCACCCAACTTCTCACAACAAATTATAGCATCATTATTTCCAAAAAACTCTCTC